TAGTCGAAAGATTACAGGCCGTATTGGCGATAATGTTTTGATGATTGGCCAAATTTAGAGTAATCAGCATCAGCAATCTAAAGCTGTGTCATTATGCTGCTTAAAACAAATCGTAACACGAAGTGACCGCTCGACAGGGGTAGAACCACGTTCTCTTAGATTTCCAACGTACAATATTAGCCTAATGCTGCTATGTTTCGTATGATAACAATCTATGAGTATAGAGATGTGGAAACACCCTTTTTACTGGAAACGAGTCATTCCATCTTAGTCCTCAGGGGTGGCAACGCATCTGCATTTTGATTCTTAATCGAGGATAGATGTAGATGTTTATGTGCCACAACATCCATTTATCATCAGGTGGATTGTGCTCATTTGTAACGCTTATTATAATTAAGGTATTTCTCGATTATTTTAGTTTTGTTTGTTTGTGGTGTGTGTGTGTGTGTGTGTGTGTGTGTGTGTGTGTGTGTGTTCGTGTGTGCGTGTGTGTGTGTGTGTGTGTTGTGGGGTAAAATGCGTATTTATCGATTATATATATACATATATTGGACGTTGGTATGTTGAAGCCTGTACCGATTCTACTCCAAAGATTATGGAATACACGTTTTTCACTTTCAACACTTATATACCGGCAAAAATACAGCGTGTACAGTGAAAAAATTTATTGCGGGAATGTAACCAATAAAGTCTCGTTGTGGGGCGAAATGCGTATAGTGTTTATATTATTGCAAATAATAAATTAAATATAGGCCGTTAGTATAGTAAAACTCTAACTGCTGCTGCTCAATAATTATCAAATAAAATTTTTATTTCATTGGCATGGCTCTGAGGAATTGTTCGCGTAATTTCCACCAATGCACATTCTCACGACAAAATTTCCAACATCATCCACACTATCCGGATGCTCGGCGTCCAACACTGATGATTTACTAGGAGTTTTCTTCCTCGCATGACTTCTTTGTGGATTCATTTACCATTAGCGATTTGTCTAGAACGATACTATTTAGGGACCTCCAAGAAACGAGCTTACTCCCTTTAAAAAGGCCCACAACGCACGTGCAATTTCCCTAGTATTGCAGTTATTCATGGTTTGCGGCAGCAGGCAGTGGCGAAGCTAGGGTTTCAAACTAGGGCAAGCCACAGATATGGTTTTGTTGATTTTATCAGTGTTATAAAAATACAACAATCTTGATCTGTCTTCACTCTTTAGTTTCATATTCAGTGCTGTCGAGGACGTGTTTAACAAAGCACACAGAAGGCATACTGCTGCTAGATAGATTGTATGACATATTACCAATTGCATACCTTCGGTGGGTTCGGGTTTGCTAAAGAAAAAGTTATTTACGTACAATAATATACATGAACAGAGTACAAACAATGTAAAAAATTAAAAAAAAGCAAATTATTTATATTCTAAATTGAATGGTCTCTCTTTCTTAAGGAAAGATTTGATTACGTCCGCGTAAAATGTTGGTGAACGTTTTAACTGTACCAATAACAGTTTTTCAATTGCGGTAATTGATAAGTCCGAAAGACGCTCTTGACATTGTGTCTTTTCTCAATAAAGTTTAAAGATTTTACCTTTTCCTTGCCAACTAGCACTTTAACACACTGCGATTCATCACAAGGAACACTATTATCCTCCATTGTCTTTGAAAAAGCATAAACTTTCAGCAGACACAGAAAAAACAAACAAAGTAGGTAAACATTGAAATGTGAAGTGAACTTGCAAACGTATCGCCCGTGCACCGCTGGCACTCGGAAGCAACTTCAGAGCAAAGCCCGACTTTTGGTACCATAGTAATTGCTATATACATATTTCGTAGTTATATTTTGTTATAGAATATTTTACCGCAGCTTAGAAAGGGAACGATGGTCTTCTCTAAAGCCCGGTAAAAAAACACACGCGTGCGAGATAGTTGACTAATCGCTCAAATCAACTCCTTGCTTTCATTAATTTTGACAGTGTATTGCGTGTTCGCTTTGAGACAGAGAGAACACGAATCAGTGTATTTCGAATTGAAAGCAAACTGCCAAGTGTTGACGTTACATATATGCTACGAGGTGATGACCTGTGTAGAACAGAGGAGCACGCGGGAAATTTGAAGTAGTTTGAAACAGTTTACGAGTTGATTTCTTATATTTACGCGAACACTACACATTGAAATAATACTAGTTTTTACGGAATTTATCGCGTATATTTAACTTTTTAAATACCCGACGTTTCGAAAGCTTTACAGCACCCATGGTCACGGGAAGGACTGAGATGTTCAACATCCAGATGTCATAGTTAACCGTGGTTACCATAGATTAAAATTTAACTTTTGTTCCGATCTACACTGTATGAACTTATGGTATCATGAAATCTTGCAGTTGTATGCTTGGGTTGGGATTTAATTTTATTTATTATAGGATCCCAAGCAGATGGTAGCACCCAGCCATCTTCTCTATTGAAATTAGGATGTTTTTTGATTCCAATAGCCTCACGAATCGTCCTTGGAAAGAATCGGTGTTCTTTAGCGAGGATTTGTGGTCTATCAAATCCGATGTAGTGACGGGGGCGATCCTATACGTGTTCACAGACTGCAGACTTCCCGGAGCGTTGATTCTTCACATCAGCTATATGTTCTTTAACGCGGGTTTTAATTGATCTTTTAGTTTGTCCTATGTAGGAGAGACCACATTCACAATCAAGCTTGTACACTCCTGCATCTTGCAGAGGGACATTACACTTGACTGATGGTAAAAACTGAACAAACTTCTTCGGCGGCTTGAAGTATGTTTTGATGGAAGCGCGCTTCAAGATGTAGCCAATCTTGTCAGTGACTCCTCTAACATATGGCAGTACAGCAGGTACACGCTCGACTGTGGGCGGCTTCACTCGTTCTCTGTGACGTAGGCGCGGGACCCGAAGCTTGTTGTCATGCAAAACTTTATTGACGTGTTGGAGCTCTGCAGCCAGGTGTTTACTGTCACAGATCCCTCGTGCTCTCTGAAACAAAGATTTACCCACGGTAGCTAACTGTGCAGGATGGTGGTGAGAATCACCGTTTAAATATCTATCTGTATGGGTCTTTTTTCTATACACAGTATGGCTCAAGGTGTTATCAGGATTCCGAATTACTAACACATCTAGAAAAGCTAAGGAATTGTTTGCCTCTAACTCCATTGTGAAATGAATTTTAGAATTTATAGAGTTAAGATGGTCTAAAAATGCAGTTACTTTATCTAAAGGTAGAATTGTGAAAGTGTCGTCTACGTACCGCTTGTAGAATCTTGGATTTATGGGAGAAGTAAGCAGGGCTTTCTCCTCAAAGTCTTTCATGAATATGTCAGCGACAATGGGAGATACAGGTGAGCCCATCGCCACACCATCTACTTGCTTGTAGAACTCCTCCTTCCACAATAGGTAGCCAGATGTAAGGCAGTGTCTGAGTAATACTGCAATTTCTACGGGCATGTTGTTTTCTTCCAGCCTTCTATTAAATCAGGCGAGTAAAAAGTTGTTACGGGCGGTAATCCAACAAAAACGCTCCGATCTATATGACATAAATAAATCCATAGACACATCATCCAGTGAATTAAAGAAAGTTTTAACGACGTTTGATTATAATTTTTGCATGGAAACATTAAATAAACGCGAAATTAGTAAATATAACGAATGCAGAAACAAACATATAGAAAAATATCAAAAATTAACGGCCAAATCAAGTGTCAAACATCCGAATCAATTCCAGAACCTAAAGCAACCATTGACAAACACAGATCATAGGTTAATCGCGTTCTATAATCTGTCAAAACAAACACTGGATGATGTAACAATTAAGGTTTTATCCAAAGGCCTCAATTATGCTATAACTCCACGCAGATTACCGTACGAAGAAATTATCTGTAGTGTCGAGGACTGTTTATTTAAAAACAATATACGGAAAGAAGATTTGGAGGCGATACGTCATGACATTTCGTCTATGTTACGTCGATGTTCAGTGCCTAAACCGAATCTTCCCAAAGACGAATTTATAGCGTTAAAGAACCTACGCAATAAACCAGAACTTACGATTCTCCGCGCAGATAAGGGAAACGTCACGGTAGTCATGGATACGTCAGATTATAATTCTAAAATACAAAAACTTTCGTCGGATGTAAGTACTTATAAAAAAGGTTAAAAACGACCCAACAAATAGCACACTAAAACAACTAGTGACGTCATAAAGAAACACTCCGAAAAATTAAATCTGGACGTAAAATGGATAATACCTATGTGCGCCAAATCACCAAAGTTGTATGGGTTACCAAAAATACACAAGCCCAATGCTCCATTACGTCCCATAGTGAGCCAAATCGATTCACCAACTTACAGATTGGCTCAACACTTAGCGAAAATACTCTCACCGCTCAGGGGACATACAAGAGCACACATAAAGGATTCCTAACAGGCGCGATTAAAGACCTACGTCTGGCAGACAATGAAACTATGGTCAGTTTTGATGTGCAGTCACTGTTTACATGCTTATCTGTTGAAGACTGCATCTCAATTTTAACTAGAAGGCTGGAAGAAAACAAAATGCCCGTAGAATATGCAGTATTACTCAGACACTGCCTTACATCTGGCTACCTATAGTGGAAGGATACGCGATAAATTCCATAAAAACTAGTATTATTTCAGTTTACGAGTTATTTTATTAGTTGATATTATTGATTGAGCAGTTTGAAGGGCTTGCCTGGCTTTTTGGCTTCTATGTAGGCTTTGCCACTGCCAGCAGGTGAGCTGCATGCTCATTTACCCGCACTTTAAAAAACAGGTTTTTAATTTTAAACTCCCCTGTATGAGCAGAATTTTCCTCTCTGTTTGGTAATATTGGTGGGCTAATTTCCTCTCCGTTTGGTAATATTGGTGGGCTAATTCTCTTGTTTGGTAGTATTGGTGGGTAATTCTTTTTTTTGTTAGGGGCTAATTTCCACCCTAAAATACGTGCTGTATATAAAAAAAGTTAAGAATGTTATTCCAGTTCAACACGGCTTGTGACGAATGGCGACGATCTCAGAGCGGCTCTATCCTCACTATCGGTACTCTATTCGTGCTGCCAATTACCGGCTACATCTCGGACCGCTGGGGCCGCCGCGTCGCCCTCACATATAAAACTGTCACCGCCTTCAACACGGGCTGGATCGGTTTCGTCCGCTCCTTTGTTAACTCCTACGAATGGTTTCTTGCACTCGAGTTTTTTGAGTCTGCTTTAGGGTCTGGTGCCTACTCATGTTCTTTTATATTAGGTAAGTATTTATTGCCTCATTGGTTTATTGTGTTCTACGTTTTTTAAATGTATTTAATTACGACGAATAAAAAAATTGTTTTATTTTTATTCGTCGTAATTATTGTCGTAAATATTGTTATTATATAAAAAAGACCACCTCTTTGGTTTAGAGGTCGTAAGTGCGACTGTTGGTCATGAGGTTCCTGGTCTGAGATTAAAATCCGGACCCACAAAAGCAGTTATTTTGTTTTATCCCTCGTGCTTTGAACAGCACGTAAAGCCCATTTTCCTATTTATACCTTGAGAGTGATGGAAAAGAAAATGCACCTGTGCTTGCTTACACATTTGTGTAAGCAAATTTGTGCAAGCAAGCTCAGGTACATAAACACTTACAATCCTGACCATTAGTAGTATAGTTGTGGCACGATTGGGTCGTCTCGACCGGGAAAAGACCATGCTCTCACAAAATACCAGCGTAAAATAGTAGCTTAATGCTGCTGTGTTTAGTATGGTGGGTGTAGAGAACCGGCATGTTTCGTATGATAACAATTATGAGTAGAGTGTGGAAACACCCTTTTTACTGGAAACGAGGCATTCCATCTTAGTCCTCACGGGTGACAACGCATCTGCATTTTGATTCGTAATTGAGGATAGATGTAGATGTCTATAGGCCACAACAACCACTTACCATCAGGTGGACTGTGTGCTCGTTTGTTACCCCATCCTATAAAAAATGCTAGTTCGGGTGTAGTAAGAGGTGACAGAGGGAAACTAAGGTATGGGAGTGCCTCCGAAGTGGTTGAGTAATTGAGGGGGGTCCTGTGTGAACATGGTCCTTCCTTGTGGAGCCATTCGTGTTAATCCATCATGGGTTTAACACGTAAAACAGTTTTATAATGTTTCAAATATTCTAAATACGAAAATATGATAAATTTTAAATTAATATAATTAAAATAAAATTTCTTTAGTCACGGAGCTAGTAGGACCAAAATACCGAGTGATAACTGGAGCAACGGTGTCAACGATGTTTGCCCTTGGACAAGTGATCCTTGATTTCATCGCATGGGGAGTTCAGCCGTGGAGAACACTTACACAGGTTTTTTTTATACTCCGCAACTGCTAGTCGTATCTTATTTCTGGAGCTTATCCGAATCAGTCCGTTGGCTTATGAGTAAAGGAAGATATGAAGAATCTGAAGCAATCCTCAAGAAAATGGCCAAATAAGAAAGAACTTACAGAAAAGTCATTAGAAAGTCTCAGATCAATAGCTAAAGCGGATAAGCTTATTGAGAGATCTAAAGAACGTTAGCTACCAGTATTAGTTTTTAAATCTCGTGTCATATTATCCCGATGCGTTGTTTCACCAGTCTGGTGGGTTACAAATAATCTGGTGTATTATGGTATGTCGATCAACGCTGTCAAATTGTCTGGAAACCAGTACCTCAACTATATCGTGGTCACAGCTATTGAAATCCCTGGATACTGGACGGTTATACTTCTGCTTGATCGCGTTGGAAGGAAGCCGGTGCTCATCTTCGGCTATTGGCTCTGCGCTGCTTGCCAGTTTGTATTCACCTTTATACCTGAAGGTGCGTAGTATCAAATTGCGTATTGTATATTAATTAACGTATCTCAGCTATCATACTTCACTGTTTCACAGTATAAGGCCTCCTACTTGCATACAATTAAATCGATCAGATGCAAGCTATACAGATTTGTTTTAAGCTATTTTTATATTTAATGCGATCTAAATAGCTTGTGGGAACTATGAATGTGTATGTATTTATTTACATTTCAAACAGTATATAGCCAGAAAACACGTCCATTTATGATATTGTTAGGAATCAAAAGGACATTTTTAATAATAAGAGATATGAAATAAGACCTTGCCTTCAATGTCAATCAACTATATTTCCATATTTCTGTCAGCATTTTGTTATATCTGTCGATATGTTAAATAAAAATGAAATTACTATAAAATATATATCATTATTCAGCGCCAGTTGATCAAATACAGCAGTAGTAATAATAGATTTACATCAACAATATTCGACTATGTAGAAGTTGTCTAACTTCCTATAGGATCCTATAATTAATTAAATTAAATTCCAACCCAAGCACACAACTGCAAGACTTAAAGATTCTATAAGTTCATACGCCGTAGATCGGAACGAAAATAAATAATTTTAATTTGGAGGTAGCGGTCGTCAACGTCCCAATGACGTCAAACACCTCAGTCCCTTCCCATGACCATGGGCATATCCGCATGGGCATCCGTTAAACATAGTTTTACTTAAATGTATATTTACTTCTGGTACAAGTAATTACTACTATTTTACACATAAGTATATGTACCATCTATACTGTCTATCTACTATGACTGACATCAACTCTGGATTCATGGCTTGATTAACAAATAAGCCAATTATTATTAAGCTTGTTACTACTGTATTGTTAACTTGCTGAATACATAAGATACCTATTTGTACATAAATGCAGTTAAATGAATCGATCTTCAAAGCCGATGAAGCTGCATCATATAGAGAAGCTTCCTTAGATCCCTCGGCCTAAATAATCTAATTTTCTTTTAACATACAAATGCGAACTTGCATCAGGCATTTTGTTAACAAATATGCAATATCGTGGTTGTACTATCATTGCTGATTATTTCTTGTTACTTCGTATAAGTTTGTTTGTTTGAAGGATGTGAATGATAAGAATGAATAAACAAAACAAAAAAAGTCAGTGTGGCTTTTTTGAAAAAGATAATATCTTGAAGAAAGTGGCTGGTAAGTTATGTAAAAAGAAGTTAATAGATTTTAAAATACTACAAAGATGAAAAAAACATGGAAATAGTACAAATAAATAAATATTTAATATTTTTATTTTATTTCATATTGCCACGTATTATTTTTTATTCGCTGTAGAGCCGTGCTGCAGTTATATTTGTAGTATGGTATATCGATACTCTCAACTCGAGTCATAAACTTTTAATCGATGCAGAGACTGTAAATAGTTAATTCGAATTACTCAAAAACTCTAGTATAACTAGAGTGACATAATTAATTAGCCCGAGTGACTCAAGTCACAAAATTCTAATCGAGTTACATCTCTATCTTAGGTCTATGCAGTGCCTGTCTACAATTTATTGATGTACTAGACTTCCTAAATCAAGCAATTTATTGATATATTATGTAATGTCATTTAATTGATTAATTATAATTTGTGATAGTTAAATTATTAATAACATTAAGACCTGCGCCATAAAATTGAAAAGAATGATACTATTTTGTCATTATTGTCTATACGCAAACCAAAAATATATAACTAAGAAAAAATATAAAGAACAATTTGTGACAAATTGACACAGCTTCGTTCAGCCAATTCGAGTTACGTGAATTTGAACGTTAACTTGTATCGAATTTCTTCCGAATCGGCACATCTGTACTACAATTGTTGGTTTCAAGTTTATTTTTCTAATATTACATTACCAGAACTATTGACCTAATATCTATATCAAAACAACTCTTGTTTTTTCAGATTTTACCTTTAGGCTATTTAAAATCATACATTGGTATCTTTTTTTGGGTAATGCCATTAAGGGTCTATAAAATTTTTATTTTCACTTAACCAGCAGTCAAATTAGCTGCTGGGCATATGTAGTCTACAACAATGTTGCAGATAGGGACAGTTCACTCTGTCACCTATCATTTTAAGAATGCCATTGGGGCTGGCCCTTACCCTACGCACCAGCGATGCAGCTCTTTTACGCAAAGTTGCGTAAAAACAATCTACATGTGCTTGAGCAAACATCTCTGATGCGCTGCAGCGTCGGGACAGCCCCATCAGCACCCGGAAAGCGTTGTTATATTGGATCCGGAGAGCTCCATAGGCCCGTTTCGTGTAGTCCCTCCACAGACTGCACATGTAAAGAGATGTACAAAACGCTCTAAATAAAGTGAGTTTAACCTCCCTTGAACATCTCGCGAACCTACGTGCAATCGTATTTGCACGAACCGACAGAGCCCTACGTTCCCTTTCTATGTCAGTAGTATCCTTGAGGTCGGAAGTAACCATATGATCCAAATATTTGAAAGAGTCAACCCTAGTTAATGGTGTGCCATTCAATTTATAGGAGGCACATTACGCGTACGATCCCGTCCGGCCCCAAAGATCATATACTGACTTTTTTGTGCATTGTACTTCAGCCCATGTTCGGCTGCGAATGTCTCACAAACACTAAGCAATTTTCTTAATCCACATATTGATGCACTCAGCAGCACCATGTCATCTGCGTAACTCAAGTTATTTACACAAATTCCATCTATATGACATCTGACATGCATGCTGCTAAGCGCCTCAATAAGTGCATTTACATAGAGGTTAAAGAGACTGGGTGAGCTTAGCCCACCCTGTCTCACCCCGCACTCCAACCGGTATGGTTCAGACAAAACATTAGCCCATCTAACGCAATTGACCTGTCCCCCATACCAATATTTTAAAATCTGTATCAGTTGACCTGGTAATTTAATATCCTCCAATTTTTTCCACAGTATATTGTAGGAGACCAGATCAAATGCCCTCGACAGGTCAAGGAAACAAGCGTAGACAGGTGTTTTCCTATCAACATAATATTTGACAGTGTGCTTAAGGCAAAGTATCGCACTTTCTGTGGACAGTCCGGTACGAAATCCGATTGTCATGCAGTTTTAGATATTTATTGATCTGCGTATTAAGCACACTGTCCAATATTTTTGCTACGATGGTTGCCAAGGATATTGGTCTATAATTACATTTATCTTACAAGTCACCCGTTTTATTTTTTACCACCGGTACTACTATGGTCTTCATTAGATCAGGGGGCAGATATGCATGCCGTAAACATGTAGTGTGGAACACATACCCTGCGGCAGATTGTACAAAAGACCGAAGAGCTACCACTTTGCCTCTTTGCTGTTTGTATGTGACCGAAGAACTACCACTCCGCCTCTTTGTCTTCCGTATGTGGACTATGAGACAGTCTTTGATTCCGTCGAAATTTGGACGGTGCTACAGTCCTTTCAGCGGTGCCAAGTTGATTGTCAGTATATCGAAGTGCTGTAGTGTTTGTACAGTAGGGCTACGATGGTTATTCAAGTACAGAACCAGAGTACGAAACGTATCCAACTGCAGAGGCGTGCAAGACAGGGTGACGATATATCCCCGAAACTCTTCACTGCTGCATTGGAAGACGTTTTCAAGCCACTGAACTGAAAAGGATACGGTATTAACATCATTTGCGATTACATCACTCACCTCCAATTTGCTGGAGATATAGTCCTTATGGCAGAATCGCTGAAGGACCTAAGCACCATGCTGAATGACCTCAATAGTGTCTCGCAACGGATATGTCTTAAGATGAACATAGACAAAACAAAGATCATATATAATGTCTATATCACTCCTATACTGGTAGTTGTTAAGAGCACTAAGCTCGAAGTTGTTAACGAGTACGTTTACTTGGGACGAATAGTCCGATAAGGTAAGTCCAACTTCGACCCAGAGGTCAATCGACGAATTCAACTCGGCTGGGCAGCGTTCGGGATATTACGACACATCTTATCGTCTGGTATACCTCAAAATCTGAAAACTAGATTGTTCAACCAGTGCGTGTTGCCAGTGATGACTTATGGATTGAGACGTGGTCCTTCACCGCTGGCCGTATGAGGACGCTTGCGGTTGCTCAGAGAGCAATGGAGAGGGCTATGTTCGGGCTTTCTCTGCGTGATAAACTTAGAAGTGAGAATATCTGCAGGAGAACCAGAGTGACCGTCATAGCCCAACGGATAAGTAAGCTGAAGTGGTAATGGGCCGGCCACATAGCTCGAAGAACCGACAACCGATGAGTAAGAAACTCTCTCAAGTGGCAGCCTCGTACCAGTAGGCGAAGTGTAGGGTGAACCCCACTAGACAGAGTGACGACCTGGTAAGACACGCAGGAAGTCGATGGATGTAGTTGGCCCAGGACTGTGCTTTGTGGCATTTTTTGGGGGAGGCTTACGTTCAGCAGCGGACTTTTAAAGTAATGTAATGATGATTTTTTTTACAAAATAAGGGTGACTGACTATAAACGTTCACAGAGTCCAACTTATAGTAATTTCTTGCTGTGACCCGTAGATATATACGTCTATTCTCGCTTTAGAATCATAATTAAGATACGGTGCAACCCCCGAGGACAAATGAATACCTTATTTCCAGTAAAAAGGTTTGCACTCACTGTGCGAAACACAGCAGCATTAAGCTGCTATTTTACGTTGGTATTCTTTGAGAGCATAGTTCTTCCCCATTCAAGCCGAGCTATTCCCGCTATATATACATACTGTTACGAGCTTGAGGTTAGTGACAATAAAAACTGCCGATTGAATTACCAAAATTTACACTTTTATTACCGAACACCAATTAAAACTTAAAAGACACTAATAATTAATCACTATGAAATAAAGTTTATTTCGCTCCGAAGCTTCGCTTGTCTCGCCAAATTCAATACTGCCCCGACTGCGTCTTGCAGCGCCTTTAAATACACATTTTTCATCGAAACATCCAGAATATGCAAGTAAA